TTTTCTCATGTTGAACAGTGTTATTTTTGAAGTGTAACCTTCCAGCACTGTGATTTCAGGGTCTCTTATTTATTTTTTATGATCCGAAATAAGTTCAGCTTTGAGTACTTGTATTGCTCAGAAAAATGTTCTTACTGTTTTCGATATGTTAACCTCAGCACTTTTTATGGACCCGATGTTCTATTTTTATTTTGTCATTGTTTGGAGATTCACAAAAATAAACACAACGGTGACATTCACCCTGGTGGTCCGAACTCAAGGTCGCAGGTCGGACTTGGGATGAGTCTCAACTCCAGCAGCGAGTGAATGGCTAGGACTGCATCCATTCAAGTCTGTTTGCAAACAATGAAAGACTTCATAATGCCACTTTTTTTGTCTTTTGCTCTGCCTCAATAATGTAATGAATTAAAAATGAAAATAGGGGTTTTCTCAGCACTTTTTAGATGAGATTAAAATATCGAAATATCATAATTAAATCATCGAACTTTTTTTTAATCGCTTCATCTAACTTTTTTTTAATCGCTTGAGAGCAGTAATATTCAATGACCTAGATGAATATGCAATGGCCTGGAATGAGCAGAAAATGTCAAAATTGAAAATTTTGATTTTGGTCAAACAATTTAGAAACCAAGGAATGACAAAAAATGTTAATTTCTGTATTTTAATTTTTGAAAAAAAAAAACCCCAACAGTGGTATGAATAAGATACGGTTTAAAGTTGGAGTCGGTGAAAAAATGTGTAAATGTGTCACATAGAAAAAGATAAAAGCTTGGCTTACATATGATAAAAATTGAAAATAAAAACCCATCCAATAGACGAAAGCAAAGAAAAAAGTAAAGAAAGAAGCATGACCTGCTCCATAAAGATACTGATGTTGTTGTTGTGTTGTGATGTTGATGCCCATGTTGCTCCTGATGCTGCGTTATCAGTATGTAAACGAGGCAGCAGTGTGAAGCGATTTGAGTCCCACAGGTAGAAAAGCGCTTTTCAAGTGACAGCCCATTTACCAAGGTGAGTATACCGAAGGTGTGGGAGGTTACCTTTTACATCGCAAAAAGTCACCATTTAGGTATGCTTCTCGCCTGCCACCCTTCTGTGTGCGTGTGTGTGTGTGTGTGTGTGTGTGCGTGTGCTTAACTGCTCACTCCTCCCCTCTCTGCTCAACTGAGCAGAAGGAAAAAAATGACGCAAGCTACAGATCATTCGCTTCAGATTTAGCGCAATCTGAAAGCAACCATCATATTGCGCCCAGCTTGTAAGTCCCCTAAAATAAATAAATAAATAAATGAATAAATAAATGAAGCTCATTACCAGTGACGGAATGTTTCAGCAGTTATTGAAACCTTGACTTTTTAAACCACGGTAAACCAACAAACCATTTTGCCTCATGGCAAGTTACCAACTGGGCTCGGAGAGCCTGATAGATTGTTTCAATGCAAGAAAATGCGTTATTTATTACATGATTTAAATTATTGAATGCACAGTATCACCTGATCGAAACATTTGGCATTTGGTCAATTATTGTCAAAAAACGGTGGCGGTGGATAAAGTCCAGACGCGGTGGGGCGCTTGCGTGTTTGAGTTTTCCTTGGAGATCATTTTTCAGGTGTACAATATGTAAAGTACACAATGGGTGTGTCGGCTTACCTGGTGGGCCTGGAACTGAAATGCAAATAAAAGAGAAAACATGTTATTTATTGCATTTTAATTGTCAAAGGTACAGTATTACCTTTCTGCAGTACATATATATATCGTATTTAAAACATTCAAAATCACAATTTCATCATTTTCGAGGTAGCGAACGGGGAATGCGTATCCCGCTTAACCCGGCGGGTTCAAGGAAAGCCTGGCCGCCTGATTCAGATAAAATTTCGGAATAGTCCTGTCAACGAGCGTTCTGTTCACATAATCCGACGCCACCGAGCAAACCAGTTAATTGTACGCCATTCGTAACCAGGAAACCTTTACCCAGAAGCCCCTGTCTGTGCTTCCGTGACTCACCTTGTGTCGGGTTGGAAATGGATTCGCATATGGTTTCCAGGACAACCTCGCTCAGGCTCTGAAGAGATTGGAAGTTGTCGATCAAGAATCGGAAGTCGTCAGACGGTTGGTTCGCAATGGCCTCCAGCTCAATCACATTGGCTCCTCCCACTCCGATCGCGAAGACGGTGACCCCGTGTTCTCTGAGGCGCAGAGCAGGCTGAACTACGTCGTCGCCGGAGGCTCCGTCTGTGATGACCACAGCGATCTGAGGCACCCCCTGGCTCGCTCGGCTTCCTGCACTTTCGTTGAACAGCTGCGTCCGGATGAAGTCGATGGCCCTGCCCGTCTGTGTACCTCCCCCCAGGTAGGGGAGGTTACCCAGTTCGGCCAGCAGAGAGTCCTTATCCAAGTGTTCCATCAACGAGAACTCTAGAACAGGGTTTTGGTTGTATTGTGCCAAACCCACGCGCACATTGTCAGGACCGATGTCGAAACCAGACACCACGGTCTGGAGAAACTCTCGAACCTCCTGGAAATTGACACTGCCAATGCTGCCCGAACTGTCCACCAAGAAGACCACATCAGCCACTGTGGCATTCACACATGCTGACAGGGGAGAGAGAACAAAGTCATGACCTTTTAATCTTCATCCATGATGAAATAAGTTCAGCTTTGAGTACTTGTATTGCTCATAAAAATATTCTGACTGATTTTGATATGTTAACCGAAGCACTTTTTATGGACCTGATGTTCTGTTTTTATTCTGTCATTGTTCACGTAATCCGACGCCACCCAGCAAACCAGTTAATTGTACGCCATTCATAACCAGGAAACCTTTACCCAGAAGCCCCTGTCTGTGCTTCCGTGACTCACCTTGTGTCTGGTTGGTAATGGAAACGCATATGGTTTCGAGGACAACCTCGCTCAGGCTCTGAAGAGATTGGAAGCTGTCGATCAAGAATCGGAAGTTCTCAGACGGTTGGTTCGCGATGGCATCCAGCTCGTTCATATTGGCTCCCCCC